CTTTTTAGCTAATTTGCTTGCAAGCCTTCATGGTATTTGTTTTCATTTTTAATTGCCTAAAAGCTTTGATAAATCTGACACCATGTTCATTACCAATATGATAGGATATGCACATAGCAAACAAATAAAAGCTGCTTTTTCTCCTTGCTACCCTTAAAGTTGGTACTTGAAGGACACATAAATGAATACACACATTTTAGTAATTATATAAACATACCTGAAATACAATAACTCAGATGTAGCAAAAAATATTAAAGGGAGAAAAAGGGGAAAAATGTTCCCTGTTTGGTCTCCTTATATAGGTCATCTAAGTAAGCACTGTTAATATATCAAACCCACCTCTTTTGCCTACTTAATTGAGTCAATGCCAGTACACTGTGTAGGACCATATGCATAACTTTATAGAGTAGCTATTCCTCAATTATGTAACTGTACTAATTTTGTTAATGTATTCTGTGGAGAATCTGATAGTCCAGGATTACTGTAAGATCAATATTTTTCCATTGACAGATTGCTGGAGACCTATGTATTTAAATAAAGTCCATGAACTTTAATAAGACCAAATATTTCTTCTTCCTCTGCTGTGCTTTCTGTTGATTAATAATTCAGATATTTGAACATTGCAAGCAAGCTGGAAACTCTGCTTGTGCAAAAGAGGATTGCATATCACAAATAAAAATATAATAGACAATAGGGAGGGCAAAAGGAGAACACTTACTAGCAAACCATTCCTTTTCTGCAAGGGTGGAATTTGAGTGACATGACTCTCTATCTTAGGTTCTGTTCACAAAGCACCATATAGCACTTGAGTCCACTGGCAGGCAGTTCTTCAGTGGTTTAACTCTGTTATTTACAATGCTGTTGAACCCTGGCTTACCCAGCAAATAAATGCAACACTTTACCTGCTAAAATTAAATGTGTATTAGTACTTGGGAGAGCAGGGCCAGGCAAATCTAATACCTGCTGTTGCTAAGTACAATAAATCTATCTTAGCTTTTTGAGGACTTGTTTTGTTTTGGTTTTTTTCCCTTCTGTTTTCAGATTTCTTAATTGGTTCATGGCTCTCCTGTGGTTCCACCGCAGGGAGGTTTGTGTTGTCACGTTTGGAAGCAAGGGTATTAGCTTGACAAGTCACCCTGCAGGTCTCTTGATACTTTCTTATTTTCCATGTGTCATGAATTAGATGTTTTGAAGATTAATTTCAAACAAAACAGCGTATTTAATTTCCCTTCGGGAGCAGAGGATGTCTTTAAAATAAAGCTCTTATTCCCCTCATCAAAACCTGCATGATCCCTTTCCTCTTCTTATAGCTAATTAACTGGTGGAGCTGCAGGGTTTTCCCGGTTTCAAGGTAAGTTGTTTTCATTGCAGTTGTGTGATTTTAGCATAACTGTAGAGGTCTGTAGTAGTCAATATTGAAAAGACAATTTGATTTCCTTACTGGTGCATATGCTTTAAAACTATTTTTTTGCATTGATATTATTACTGAAGTGAATTACACCTAGATGAAAGAAAAAGATCTTAGTTTAAATTTTCATTAAGTGTAGCTTCTTATCTGAGGATTATGTGTCACTGGGAGAGTTTTCTTATCTCCATAATTAAGGGTGAAGAAGTTAATTATTCCCATTCTAATATATCTTCATATTGGCTAATAGAAGTGTGTGTTGACTTTGGTATGGAAATTTTAAGCTGAAATCTAAAAACAACAGAAAAAACTGTGGAAAAAGTGCAAAAAAAAAAATTTTTTTTTTTTAGGAGAAAGATGGGCTGTAACAACAACTTGCTGGGACAGTAACACGAATTATGATTTAGGTAGGGCAAAAAACTGGTTCAAGAACAAGAATACTGTGAAGGATTATTTTTTATTTCAGATGCTAGCCCTCTTGACTGGCCTTGCTTTCTAAAGTAGCTGCTCACAGTTTAGTATTCTGGGTCTTCTTTTGACCTGCTTGTGCTGCAGGGACAGAGGTTCTGGGCAGGTGGGGCTGGCTGTGGCTGCTCTGCTGGCCCCCATTGCTCCGTACATCGCATGGCGTGGCTGCTCTGTGCTGCAGCACGCTCCTGTCTCCGGGGCCTTGCACCACCTCTTGCAGCAAGAGCTGTGGGGACACTGCCTTGGCCCTGTCATGCTCAGCCTTGTGTGCCCTGCACTGAGCCAGAGGAAGGATGTAGGCTCAGCTACTTCATTCTCTGAGCCTTATTCACAGAAGCTAAAGGGAGGAAAGGTCTCTCCTTTCCCAGTGTTTCTATGAGGGCTTTTTGGTCATGTTTTCCAGATAACTTAAAAGTTTCTCTTTTGTTTTAGATGGTTTGTTTGTCTCCCTAGGGAACTACAGGGACATGTTCTGGCAAATTTCTTGATTTTCAGATGCCTTATCTATCTTTTCTTTTGTTTCCTGCACTGTTTTAAATTTTCAGAGATACAATTTCATCCTTTGGTGTCTTCTCTGATGGTTTGCTCTATCGTTTCTCAGGATAAACCTTTGGAGCAAAGGCTGCTGTGTTTGTCTTTTGCTTAAGCCATGCTGGGAGATTCTACTACAGGAATTTCTATTGTTGTAGTGGCAGGGTCCTTCAGGGAGCAGAGGTGGTACAATTTTCCTTTGTGGAGCTCTGGTTAGCAGGTGTATCTCCATTTACAGGGATAGTGTTTGGGCAGTTCGCACCTTCCTTCCTGGAGGTTATTGCCTTCTCATTATGGTGTTCTCCAGTAAATCAAAGCAATGTATCTTCAAGTACTGAATTCCTTCTGAGGGACAGAGAGCAGCTTGCAAACACCACTACTTTTTTTCATTGTAGAATTGGACAACAAGAGCTGGAAATACTTTTTGAGGCCCTTAAAATTCCACGCTGTCCCTGGAGGTTGATGTGGTTTCTATAAATACTTAATTTCTTTGCTTTGCTTCAGATATTTGGCAGTTAAAAGGCAGGGAAGAGCCCAGATTAGTGTGAGATGTCCTTATTAATTATTCCATGGAATGATATTTATGCTCTTTCTTACAAACTTTGCTTGGACTCCATGCAAAACGGGAGTGGAAACTTTGAAAGGTTTTAAGTTGTTCAAAGGTACTGCTGCTGCATTTGACCAAATAAATGCCTTACAGGTGTTGAAAATACATATTTATATTTCTTCATTTTTGTCTTAATGTTTGAAAATTGTAATTTCACTCATCCAGTGACTGTTTTTCAGAAATTAGTAGTGAATTTTATGGGACTGACTCTTAAATGTTTGAGTCTGGAAGAATTCAGTGGAAGTCTGGAATCTAATAGGAGTTTAAAATTGTGTATGCCTTAAATCCATGGAAGCAAATGAAATGTACTGTTTAATTATCCACCTGAAATCAGCATACAAAAGATGAAACTCAAACTGGTTTATAACTCTCATAGGGTGTAATTTATCTCTATAATGTGCATAAAATTTGCCATAGAGAAACAAAAATGCAATACTACAAGGAAATTCTGAAATATTAAGATTTCAAAGCTGTGAGCCCCTTTTATATTTTCCTGTAAGAACCTGAGCACTTAGTAGTAATATCCATTTCTGCCAGTTGCATCAGACAGGAATGCTCATTATCTCACTCCATTGCAAAATTTAACACAGATAAAGCTGTTTAGTTAAAACCATACTGAAATATTCCTCCCTCACCCTTAGGCTCCTTCCAGTCACCATCTGAGGACTCTCATCCTTACATTTCCAATGTGGACCCAAAGCTCCTTTTCCCAACTGGCAGTGGCAGCAGTAGCTGACAAAGCTGACACATTTACTCCCTCTTGGCACCCTCCTCTTGCCTGGCTTCTTGCACTGCTCTTAGTCTGATTGAAACAAACATGATCACTGAGACAAGTCTGGGGTATATTTGATTACTTGGCTGCTGCTTCAGAAATGAAGATTTTTTACTCGCCAAACAAGAGAAATTCTCTTTTCAGAGTGGAGGAGCGCTCTGCAGACCCAAGTCTGTGACTGAGCAAGCAGCAAGGAAAAATCCCCTCCTTTGCCCTCTCCAAGCCCTGACTTTGGCTGTACATATAGGTTCTCAGGTTTGCACTTGGAAGGCAGAGCAGGCAATCTGCTGCATGGCTCATGCACTGATTAGTCCTCAACCCTTTTGCTGTTTGTATGCACTTAATTGTTTTTTTGCTGGCAGACACACAGAGTTCAGCATCACATTTTGACACACACATGCTGCTGTCCCAGAGGATTCACAGAGTGGGCTGTCTTGCAGCTGCTGCATTTTCCACCAGTAAAATTGACAGTTACCTACTGTGTGGAGTTGCTAGGAGAAGGTGAACAGTCATCATTACAGCATATTCCTTCAATAACAACCTGTAGCGCTCGCTGATTTCTCTTCTGCAGGGATTTAGATGTGTCTTTGCTACTGACTTAGCATTTGTGCAGTCATATTTTTATTGACAGGCTGGTAGATATTTATTCAATAAGAAACAACTCAGGATCAGCTAAAGAGAGGAAAGCTCTGGCATTTGAACATACACTCTTTTTGTAGGGTGATGTGGCTGATACTGGCATCTACCATCTGCTTTCCTATTGCAGCCTGTTTCTCCAACCTGCAAAGCAGAAACCAGCCTTTCTTTCCTTCTGGATTGTTAAAGCCATTCACATTTATCCTGCATGGCAATGAATTATAGTCCATTTTAAGGACTCTTTTGTGCTTCTGTGTGTATTCCTACAGCAGAAAAAGTGCATGAGAAAGGAGCTTGAGCAGTCAGTAGTATAAGTAGCTGGCTCTCCGTATGGATTAGACTTGTGAGGTCAGAGGAGCTGTGTGTACTTGCTCTGTGCTTGGGGGGGAAGAGTGGATTTGTCTGTCAAAGTGAATAGCGATTCAGGCAGGATCGTCCCTCAGCTGTTGTAATTCTGATGTGTTTTGCTATGACAGCAGCTACTGTCTAACATGCGTGGATCTTCTGAAATTTGTAGTGGACTAAGGACTGCATTTCCTTGCTGCTGAGCCTGACTGTAACTGTATCGCTGTAGGACAATAACGATGGGGGCTCGAGCGACAGAAACAACTCGGGAACTGGAAAGCGCCTCTGTACAGTACCAAATAGGAGGACATGCAGAGAAAATGTGGCAACGACTCAAAGGAATGTGAGTAGCTTGTCTCCTTGGCTTTTGTTCTGTTCCTTGGGAAAGATAATTTTCTTCTGTTTGTTAAAATGTCTAATTAGCAAACGAGAGAGTTATTTAAGCTGTGAACAGTATTTGCTCCCACAATACAGTACATCGTTCTGGTTTACAATGGTACTTAGGTTAATGTCAGACTCTCTATTAGGTTCAGCCAGCTCATTTAAAAGATGTATAATAAGTGAGAGTTATTATCCAAATTGAAATGCAGGTAAGTCCTTCCAAGTTAGCACTTCCACATCTCTGATATGATTTTATAAATGTTATCTTCAGAATCAGCATTTCTGGAGCTGTTTCATCATTGTCAGCATGTATGGGTAAGTATATTATTGCAATTTTAGAGGAAGAACTAATACTTTGCCTTTAAAACTGAAGGTAAAGAAATCTGTATTAAAAGGTGCTTAGCTATTAGGAAGCTATGTCTGGTTTTTCCAATTATTTTGGTGTTCAATAATGCTAGAAACTATTTGAAAGGGTATTTGAGGGGACCACTGTGTTCCTGCTGTGTCTAATTCACTGCTCTCAAATGCAATTTTCATTTCAGTGCAAATGATCGGTAAATAAACATCTGCAACCTGTCAGAGAGAAACTCTATTAAACTAGTGCATTCTAAACCCCTCAAATATCAACATCTCCTTTTCAGTATTTGCCAGGTTTTTGATCTGAAAGCTGATGTCAGGATGTTACAAATACATGTTACACTTGTTGAAGCAAAGAAACGGCACTATTATTTTTGCTGGGAAGATTTTTAATCCTGGTTTTCTAAAGGTATTCCACAGATGCTAAATAGTGCCTCAGCTGTTGAAGGTAAACAGGTTATTCAAGTGTGGAGGATTAGATGTGTCGGCTATGGCACTGCCTTTTTCCCCTGTGCATTGGGTAGAGACTCAAATTGGCTGTGGGGAAGGGGATTTCCACCATCTGCTTTCTGTAAAGAGAAATTGGTTTCCTTGATTGTAAAGTCACTTTTCAGGTGTGGTCAGGGATTTAACGTAACTTCTGTGATATGCTTTTGAATATTTGCTCTGAATCCTATCATCACTCTGTTTAAGACGCTTTGGGAAAAATGTCCCCATAAAATCTCCAAAGTGTACACAGCAGAACAAATATTTTGATTATATGATGATGTCACACATTTTGCCTCTGAGTTTCTGCTACCAAAGACCTCCATCAATTTGTGCAGATTTCCATTTGTATAGGGTCTTAGCTGCTGTTTTTTTCTGTAAGTTGTCTGTTGCCACTAGACTCTTGGGTTGAAACATTTCCTTTCATCTGCCTCTGGAATGGTACCATTAAACAAACTAATGCAAATAACTAAATGTTGGGTGACAATCAATACAAGACCTCCAGGAAATAAGGTTTATTCTTCTTTAGGAGTAGTTAAAATGATATTTGGAATTTGTGGTGTATCAATGTAAAATGGAGCTTACCTGTTTGGAAATGACGCACCTTTCACAGGTTGGTGCCAACCTCCTGAACGTTGTGACAAGATGATGCTAAAATGCTTGTATTTAAAAAAACCACAGGTTGTATTATTAGATATGCACTCAGCTGACTGTTTTTCAGACTTACCAATGGTTTCGTTTTAATTATTCACTGGTCAATTGGAAATCACCAACTAGTCGATATTATGAACACTGTATGAGGAAATTTCAAAGAATTGAAATTTTCGGAGTAGATATCTGGGCTCATTTTATAGTATAAGCATCAATCATTAAGGAAAAGGATTAATTTTGTTGGTGAGCAGATATCAAAGTAGAAGCATGTTTGTATATGGTAGGAGAGAGGGACTGCCAGATAATCTGACTTGGGAGGAATTCTTTTATAAACAGTCAGGAGAATTGTTTCATCACAGAGATGGGAACTGTTAATGTAACTACATATGAAGACAAATTATTGAGCAAAGTAGTGTGCAGCAGTATATTTACACTGGAGTCAGGACTTCATGGTTTGAATTATGAAGCTGAATCTGTTCTTGCTGATAGAGTCCACAGACCTACATAATTTTTATGTGATTTCAACACAGTTTTATGGTATTTTGCCAGTCAAGAGTGCTGATTATCTTCTTGCAAGCAGGTCATTATTTCTGAAAGAACATTGGATTTAAATTAGGTAACTATCTGAATAGTGTTCAAAAGCTGTACAATAGACCCTTACTTAAAATCATCTTTAATTTTCTCTTGGCATTACATCTTTCTTCATAATAGACTTTAATTAAAAAATTGGCAGCAGAAGTCTATTTAACCTTGTATGTTTTGGAGTATTTTTGTTCTTGATTTGTTGTTTTTTTTTAAATTTATTTTTATGAAATAGAGACTGTTCTAGAAGACAGGTGAGTTGAATGCACTTAAAGATAAATGAAAATCCTCATTTGAATGCCCAATAAGACAAGCTGTCCACTGTGGGAGCTTGAATGAAAGGGCTTTTTATAGGTTTTGTATTCTATAGGCTTTCATAGATCTTGCTAGCCTAAGTGGTGCAATAAAGGCTGGAATTTTTGGAATAAAATTAAAATTATATATAATTTTTATTTGGTTTATGGTGCTTTATTCCTAAGCTCTTACTTTTATATGGCAATTAAAAATCCCACTCTGTTTTCCTTACACTGGAATTGCAGCAGTGTTGCAACCAAGGACATTATCTGTCAGAGAAGATATTAGTTTGAATTTCATAACTTGATCATTAGCATTGGTGCTGATTTTATTGATGCCTGAATGTATAAAACACATGCTCAGTGAAACGAGATGTGTGAAAGAGTCATGTAAATTTGTCTTGACTGTAGCTTCTGGTTTTTGAATTAAGATATTTTCAGTATGCAGACTGCACTCTTCTAATGTTTTGTAGTTCATGGAGAAAGCAAAAACAAATAATAAGGAACAGCTCAATAACTCGTATAATAGTGTGGCTTTTATAATTCTATGTTATGCAGAAGAATAAAAACAAAAGCCAGTGAAGCCACTGCAGGAACTCCAGTTGCCTGACTGAAGGGGAGTGTTATATACCTCCACTTCAAAAAACACCTTGTCACAGCCCAGCCAGGGGACTCCTGCTCAGCCTGTTTAAATGGCACCAGTTACACCTTTTCTACCACAAACATTTATTCTCTATTGGATTGAATCTTTCTTTAGACAGTAAATAAACCTCCAACTTAAATGTATTATGGTGTCAATAGATCGAGATGATTTGCTGCCTAGGAGAGTTTGTCTTCTGCTGCTGATAGAGCATGCTAGTGAGCTCAGAAAGAAAAGCTGCTTTTCAAAAGCATTTTCATTTGGAATGCAGAGAACCAGGTTTAAAGCAGAGGTCTTTATGCTTACTGGCCTTGCAGGGTTTGGTATTCTCCTTAATCTGCATGTAGCCTTGACTTAGCTCTGCATTGTTCCTCAGAGTGTGAAATCGGGTGCTGTCTGTTTTGTCTTTTGCCACTTCACTCAATGTCAATGCAGAACAGCCAGACATCCCCCCCCCTCCCCCCCATATTTTTTTATTTTGCAAGTAGACATCTTGGACACCTTTGCAAGTAGCTTCTGCTATCCTTGTCACTGCTGGACATAGTATTAGGGGTGGGCTCCTTTCTGACCTTTGAATTCATTAGTGAGTAAATAACTTGAACATGTTTATGCATCACTCACATATGTGTCCAATTAAAATTAAGTATTATACCTAAGGACAATGGAAAGGAGATTAAAGATAACATTTTATGAAATTGACTACTAAGCTGCAATTAAGTCTCTATATTCTGTATTTTTTTTAGCTTAGACATCTGACTCTACTTATACTATATACAAGACTTCTAAAATTTCCTAAAAAATACTTTCTGTGGCTATTCACCTTATAAGTGTTCTATTCAGATCTCTGTTTAGAGACATACTGTATATAGCTGACTACACAAATAATGACTTTCCTCTTATTTTGAACTCCTGCCAACTCCTTGTGCAGGGATCCTTGATTGCTGACCAGTTTTTATAAACATTTCTTTAAAAACTTCATTCTCTAATTTAGCTGTTGCACACTGAAGCCTGCCACAGTTTCTCAGAGCTATGGGTCAAAACCTCAGAGTTCCTATGGCCCTCCCACATGTAACTCCCAGGTTCTGCTCCACCTCCACAGTAGAGTGAAGTCAAAATATCTGGATGAGAGAAAAAAGCCCTTTTGTCTTGCTAATTATATAGAGTTAGAAAAATGCAAATGCCTAAATACTGAAATTACATAGTTACCAGTGGAAGCTATAATAAAAATAGGCATTCACTTCATACATCTGAAAGAGAAACATAACCTCAGGTTTATCAAAATTGTGCCTGACAGAATTTTTCCTGTAAGATGTCAAAATAATCGTTTAGGAGTGAACCCACTTAGTACTGTTCCATTTTGTTTGTGTTTTCTCTCTGATCTGGCTTACTCCTGGTATAATCTCTGGAGGAGGGCTAGAACAAAACAGTTGCAATTATTTCTGCTGCCATTTACTGAAGACTATTTGACAAATAAGACTGTGAAAAAGGTGTAAGATCTACTATGGTAGTGAGTCCTCCAGTACTACTGTATTATATATAACATGAAAGGTTTATTTTTGTCAAAATCCGTCTCCAGACATTCAAAGCCTTCCAAAAGGAAGGGAAATAATCAGCTAACTAATAACCAAGGACCAAATGGGCTAAGTTTGACCCACAGACTGCGCAGTTACAGAGTTCTTTACACCTTCTCAGGCAACAGCAGGTATTTGGATTTTTTTTTTCCTTTACTGCCTTCCCATACAATTTCATTACATACTTTCATTACATTACATAGGTCGCCAATGCAATTTGTGGAAACTTACAAAACCAGGCTTCATAAAGAGGATCTACAGAGGCAGTCAGAACTTGATACAAAGTAAATCCTTTCATTTTACTAGGGAAATGGGGAAAACTGAGCAGTTGCGACTAAAAGGAGAGAAAATTGCACTCTGCTGTGGTTAAGGGAAGCTAAAC